TGGTGCTGTCTCCTCTGATCTCTCTTAACTGGTGTCCATCTCTGACGAGGCTCCACAACTATCTCATTTCCCTTACCCTTGTATTTGGCCGGTTGAAGAGGCCTAGGAGTAAGGTCAATAGAGGGTGGTGTAGTGGGTGGTGGTGGTGCAGGGTGTGATCCAATCATACAATGCTCATCAGTGTGCCCAAAGTGTGTACCAGAAACAATAATCAGGTATCTTGTCATATACAACAGTATGCCAGTATCCACCTCTTTTCTCCCTCTCAATCCATATCCTATCAGGGAGCTTAAAATCAAGATCAACCTCAATACAAACTCATGCCTCACTAGGTCGTCGTAAATCAAAAGTAGCTTCATCAATACGGAGTGGAAGTCCAATAGCCTTAGAAATAGCAAACAAACTGCTCTTTACCCTAAAGTGGATGGGCAGTAGTGGAAATGAACAATAAAAGGGACAATGGGGGTCTCATGCTGAGAGTTTAAACTAGGCGTCCATTTGGTTACACTCATGGAACACCCATCAATGTACCATCTGGGCTTAAGGAATAACCGAGAATAATCGTCCTCGTGTGCCAAGTGAATCAAAATATGATCAACATCTATCAGTCCTATCACATAATCACCGTGAAATCCAAAGCACAAAAAACTATCGCGTACCTTAATCATAGAAGGCTTACGATGAGAAAATTTGCCAACAAGTGTGAACTTGTATGGCGAAGAAAGATGCTCTTCCTCCTCTTCTGTAAATAAGATTGCTGGCTCACCATTATGTATATACAGGTCTTTAGAGACCAACCTGTAATCAGTGGTGTCCTGTGGAGCTTGAAAAGCCGGTGCAAATGACTTTTTCTAGCTTCGCCCGGCCTTAGATATAACAGTTTTGCTTGAAAGGGCAACAGCATACGACTTCCGAATTTGAACAAGAAAGAAGAAACAGTGACCAAATTGCACATGTGAGAGATTAATTTCCATCAATGTAGAAAATGCTAATTTGACACCTCTTGGGACTCTATTTTGAGCCTAAATTAAGGTCTATAAATATGGGTCTTACTTTCAAATAAAAGGGAAAGGATAGTGGGTGACGAAGAATGACAATTGCTTGAAATTATTCTTTACAGATTGTATTGAACCAGGTGATTTTTTCATTTATTTATTATTTACTTTCAAAAATATTATTGACTAAATTCATTGTTGTTAGGTGAACAACTTAACTTAGGTTAATGTTTGTTTAATTCAATAGATTTCATATCAATTTGATTATGTGTTAATTGCCTATTGTATATTTAATTGACATTTAATTGCTTGATCATCAATTGCATTGTTTAGGGACAATATTGAGACTAAAAGGAGATATAATTACCTTAATTCATACAATAAGTAACACAAGTTTTAATAAGAAATTGAGATATACTTTTATAGTTTATGCAATTATAATTGAATTATTAAAATTAAATGTATTTACATCTTTATGAATTTACACAGAAATATAGTAAATTCGAACATGTTAATGGGGTTAACTTTGCTCTAAAGAGATTACTAACTAAAATTAATTAATTCAAGTGTTAATACACATAAAAACAGTTGAATTTATTTGAATTAGATAAAGGTTAAATAACTTTAGTGAAATCAAAATTCCTTACTAAGCCCTCGTTTAGGCCTGCTAAAAAAACCTAATAAAATTAAAAATTGGACAATTTATCAATCAAATTCCCATGTTTGCCCTTATCAAATGGACATTATGCATAAATAAGGGCAAAATGGACTGTATGCAATCTTCAAAGGGAAATTGTAAAAAATCAGGGATTTAAAGTTTACTTTTTAAAAATCAAATGCAAAATTTGTTTAATCAAAAAGTAGGTAATATATTAAGACATAACCCTAATCCCAAACAAAACCTAAATCATTTCTATTCTATTCCTTCTCTACATTCTCGTCTCCCCCTCTGCCCTCTTCCTCACCGCCTCTACCTCTTCCTCACAACCGCCGCACCTCCGCCTCCCTCCCTCCCCCCTCAGCAGATAATCGTTGCTGTCCCCAGCAGCGATTCGCTGCTGCTCAGCAATTTCGCTGCCAGCGAAATCGCTGCTGGCTTCCCAGCAGCAGCGAATCGCTGCTGCTAGAAACCCAACAACGATTTCGCTGCTGCTCAGCTGGGTTCCCAGCAGCAGCGAATCGCTGCTGGGGACAGCAGCGATTTCGTTGCATTTTTCTTCCCTTTTTTTTAAATTTTTTGAGTGGTGTGGTGATGACGATTCGGTGGTGGAGGTGTGCGGAGCGGTGGTGGGTGCGGCGGTGATGTGCTTTGTGGTGTTGCAGATGCGTGGTGGTGCAGTGAATGGTGTGCTGCTGTGTGCGGTGGATGTGGTGGTGTGAGTTGTGTGGTGGCGGTGGTGGCGGTGGTGAGGTGTGCGGTGCGGTGGTGGGTGCGACGATGATGTGCTTTGTGGTGTTGCAGATGCGTGGTGGTGCGGTGAATGGTGTGCTGCTGTGTGCGGTGGAGGTGGTGGTGTGAGTTGTGCGGTGGTGGTGGCGGTGGTAGTCGTGTGGCGGTGGCGATTTTGTGGCGGGGACGGCGACGGCGACGTTGGTGGTTATTGTTGGTGGTGTGTGACCAAGTATTTGGTTATCTGTGACCAAATATTTAATCTGTGACCTAAAAATTTTGACAATGTGATTGAAAAATAATCTGTGACCAGCAAATGTGACTCAAAAATAATCTGTGACCAACTAATTTTTGGATCTGTGACCTCAAAATAATCTGTGACGTACAAATTTTTGGATATGTGACCTCAAAATAATCTGTGACCAAAAAATTTGACAATATGTGACCAGTAAATAAATTCCTGACTTATAACTATGAATATGTGACCATTAATCACAAAAATGTGACTTTATTATCTTTATTTAATAAAAATAAAAATAAAACCTGATTTTTGAATTTTTAAACTATAAACTTGATTTTTGAATTTAGAAACTTAAACATCTTATTTTTTATTTTTTCCCATCTTCAAAAGTTGGAAAATGGACTAAATTTCAAACGTGGGCCCTGATGATTTGAAGTAAGAATCAATTGTGAAATTGACACAATCACGCCTAGATAGTGGCTAAATTTCAAAAGTACTCCAAAAATTAATTAGACTTAGATTAAAATAGTTTAATTTAGTAAAATAGTTAGATTTTTGATTTGTTAATGAGTTAGTACACTTATGTTTGACCCCTATTTTTTTTTAACTCATGTTCAACCACACATTCTCCCAAAAAATAATTTTACACTCAAATCCAAAAATTTTCTTTTATTTTTAACCATATATTCTCTAACAAAATACTATACCAAAGTACAATTTAACCCAAAAATGGGGCTCAAATAGGGGCGTAACATTAGTTTAGATTAAAGCTAACTTAGGATAAAAATTAATATTAAGCCCATGTTTGGTCCACAATAATTTTTTTCATTCTTATACATCTACTCATTTTCAACTACATATTCTTCAATAAAATAATATTTTTCATCACATTAATAACTTTTCCTTCTTTTTCAACCACATATTCCCCATCACATCAATAAAAAAATACATTCTTGCCCCCAAAATGTGCACCAAACATGGGCTAAATACTTAATATTTGTTGGAACAATATTCAAACTCAATCATCCACTTTATTACTTGTCACAATCCGTACACTTGCGGAATCTCGCGATCACCAACCTGAATAGCAATGGACCCGACATCCTACAATTACCACTCTTCGTTTTTGTGGAGAACCCGCTTGTTACGTAGGGACGGAGCTACATAGAGGCCAGTGCATGCACCGACCTGCACTAGACTTTGGGTTCGACACAAGAAACTCTAGTGTGCCCTCACTGGACCAAGAGAAGAAGAAAAGGGAAAAAAGAAGAAGAAAAACTGTGCCTGCAAGAAACTCGCACTGGGCCAAGAAGAGGAGAGGGGAAGAAAGAATAAGAGAAAAAGTGTGCAGGAAAAAGTGTGACATTATTAGAAAGAGTTTACAAGTGTGACCTGTTTAAATGCTAATTTTAAGTTTGACTTTCCTAAACTTACCGTATCAAATTGATAAGTTGATACCTGATAAATAAGCGATAATTTTCATGATAATAATTCATCACCAAAAAAATAAAAACAATTAGATTAATCAACTATTAGCTGTATTAATAATCTCAAATCAATATTATTTTATTGGGGTGGGCGACCAAGTGTGGTAAGAGAGAGACTTAAGGATAGTGATGACAAAAAAACTCGCTAAGTTTGATACTCGCGAAAGCCCGTCCCACTCGCCCCCTAATCAGATAAACGGGAGGAGTGTCGTTACCTTGAAACATGTATGGAATACAAAAAACATGAATTATTTATCTTCATGATTCTGCATTGATCACGTGAAACTCTTTTTGTTCATGGACTAATTTTGGCCAAAAAAACCACTATAGCCGATACCTAAAATTGTGCCCGTACTGGACAAAATCCTTGGCTCCGCCCCTGTTGTTACGTACATGATGGACTTTCATAGGGCTCTGAAACTTAAACGATCCTTCTGGTGAAGATCATGACGTGCACTTTATACCAAGGTAAGCAATAGTACCTATTCTTGAGTTATGCCACATCAATACACATGTATACATATTCTTCAAAAATTAGATAACTTCTACCTTCTGAAGTTATAGCCTACAATCATGCAACACAAGCAAACGAAAAAGGGACAACAATTAACAACACGAGTGTCCAAATCATGAAAACCACGTAAAAGAAGCACAGTTTAAGGTAAACAAGGTAATTGTAAAGTATTAGTCGACATTTTTACATGGATACATTCTGAAACCCTACAAAACATCCAGTTATGGCAACTAAATTTTGTAAGGACATATTTACTTGAAAATACAGGAAAATTCACTTTCAAAACTGAAAATATGGTATATATAAGTTCGTTTCACAAATCTAGGATGCTAACTGATGCAACAAGATTCATACATACTCCAATGGCAATAGTTTAAACTTGAACTGAATCCGAGCTATTACCCCCAACAGAATTTGCCTTCCGCTCAGCTTGAAGTGACCGGCATAATGATTCAAGTTTATCTTTCTGATTTCGTGTTTTCTCCAGTTGCTTCTTCAAGCGTTCCCGCTGCTCAAAGAAAGAATTCAAATGCATCTTTATACTTATTAATTCAAGACAACTGGCATGATAAAAACTATAAAGTATAAGGCTTAGTGATATGTGAGAGTTTCGATCATTTCCCATTCACACACATGAAAAAAGAAATGCAAAATCCAGAAATTACGTGCAAGGTTGGAGGAGCGAAGGATGGCGGGGGTGATATCTGAACTGCAGTTCTTTTGATTTAAGGTGGGTCAGGGTAGGGGTTAATGTCGGCAATGTGCTAACTATGTTTTAGGTGCATCTTTTTTGTGCGTTTACACAAGGAAATTCATCTGGTTTGCCCACAGTAAATGCCATAGTTCTATCACATCTTCATGAATAGCATAAAAAAGGAAAGGCAATAAAGCACACAAGTCGAGGAAGTAAGTCTTGGCTAGCAAGAACTAAGAAGTTCCATCAGCTTCAATTCTCTTAAATGCCAATGATTCAGTCAAGTTTATTACATCTTCAAGGTGTTCCCAACTTTATAATATTAGGAAATCACCAGATTCAAACACTTTAAGCTCGTAGTTGAACTGGTGACCGATCTATCAAGCTCCCTCACTACGTTGACTTTAGGGTCGAGGATAGTATCTATTCTTGGAATGCACAAAGAAAAAGTGAGAATAATTTTAAGCAATGAAAACTGTATAGATATCATACAACAGGAAGTTCTTGTTTAATGTAACTACGAGCAAACCTTACCTCATCAGCAAATTCTATGAGAGTAATGTCTGTTTTGTCACATTTGCTCTTCAAGAAGGTGTTTTCCTTTTTGAGTTCTTTCATTGATTTTGTCATCTAGTTTAAAAACAAAAATACACTAGTAAAAAAAAAAAATTCCCAAAGAAATCTGCATGACTGCATCATTTTGAAATGAAAAAAACATGAGTTCCTTCCAACATAAGAAGAATTTGAATCTGGACGTACCTTCTCAATTTCTTGCTTAAATGTTTCAAAAACTTCATTGCTTTTCAGCAAAGCTTCCTGGCAAAAAGGAGTGAAATTACTGGAATCAGAATTGTCGCCCGCAGGACCAAAAAACGATGATTTACTACTAAAACCATGTGAGACAATAACAAAATGATGCCATTGCATGCACTAATAGTGTCCAATTTATCCTTCATCTTCAAGATATTAATTTTTTGCTTCAATTGACTACAGATTTCATCTTCATAACCCCTTTGCTGCTTTTGCAGTTCCTACAACAGCTAAGCTAGCAATTAACAAGGAATGTGTAAATTCTTTGGCCTGACCTGAAATGCAAATTTTAGTACACAAAATTGTGGGTTGCAGTTGAATTTCAGTTGAGATATGTAGAAATTATTTTAACCCCGAGAGAGAACTTCTAGAAAGCAATGTAGAAATATTAACTATAAAGAACTATGAGAAAAATTGAACTGCGAATCTTATGTTATAATTGAATAGGGTTACAAGCTATTTATATGCACAAACCTAAATTGCTCAAGTGCTGTTTGGCAAAGCATAAATTTTTTTGAGTAGATCAAACATACTTCTTATCCACACATTTAGCAGGACCCACAACTTCCTACCCACTTGTTATTCACAACATTCCATAGAACCCACAACTTATAAGCACTACCAAACAAGCATTAAATTGGTTTGTGCCTAAAGTAATAAATCTTCACAAAACAAATACAAGTGGCTGTACACATGAAAAAAATCTAAACACAACTCCCAAAATTGTTGACTAATGTACAAGGAAAATTAAACCCAAATCTGCTGAAATTCAAAGTTCGTAAAATATGAAGCTGAAACACTCCCAATCAAGCTGGTGGGAAAATATTTCTCATCCCTAACTTTCCTCGTATTTGACTGAACGTTGCATAGGCTAGTCATTTAGTCAGGATATCAGTTATTTGTTTCTTGATTGGCCTGTATGGTACACAATCTGACTGTTGTCAATCTTCTCCTTCATAAAATGGCAGTCAGCCTCCACGTGTTCGGTTTGGTCATGATGAACTGAGTTGTGAGCAACAATAATAGCTGCTTTGTTATCATAGTACATCCTAGATTCACAATCCTTAATCTTAAGGTTAATAAGTATTATCTTTTACCTAAGAAATTCACATCCGCCCTGTGCCACGGCCCTACTCTGCTTCTGAAGTAGAGCGGGCGATTATAGATTGTTTTTTGCTCCAAGTTTTAATATTTCGTCCCAGGAAAGTACAATACCTCCTAGTTGATCGTTGATCCTTAATCAAACAAGTCCAATTCGTATCAGTGTGTAGAAATCTGGAAATCAATATGGAAATATTGTAAATATGGAAAGATTATAATTGATACCTAAATATTTCCCTAATTAGGGTAATTGATAGCTGATTTTTCTCTCCTAAATTAGGAGATTGTTTTTCTTTCTTATCTTCATTGTTGTACTATAAAAGGGTGTAAGTAGGTGTGGATTATTTCATCAAGAAATACAGAAAAATCTTCTAATTTTATGGTATTAGAGCCTAGGAGGTGTGGATTATTTCATCAAGAAATACAGAAAAATATTCTAATTTTATGGTATTAGAGCCTAGGTTCTTGTAACCTAAGCAATCGATGGCGGAACTCCCCGTCCAATCACATGATGGACTCGTATCATCTTTTTCCCTCATATCCAACATGTGCCGACAATATTAAGGTTAAAATCGCAAATGGCTTACTCTCACTTGTTGCAGGAAAAGGGAGTATTCGAAAATTTGAATCTATAACACTAAAATCTATTCCCCACATTCCAAATTTGTCCTATAATCTGTTGTCTATTAGTAAGCTAAAAAAATTTCAATTGCTCTTCTGAATTTCTTCTTATCTCATTGTATTTTTCATAAGCTCTCACCGAGGAAGACGATTGGCAATGCTAAAGAGTGTGAGAGATTATACTACATTGAGGAGGCAAATGTGAGTAAACAACGTCAAATTGCAATTTGTGATTCTGCGTCCATCTCTAGGGAGAATGAAATTCTATTATGGCATTATAGAATGGGCACCCCAACTTTCAATACTTAAGAAGTGTACTTCCCTCCATTTTTTTGAATAAATTGTCAGTTGATTTCCAATGTGAAAGCTATTGTGGAGGCCCAAAAAAATAAAAATAAAATGAAATTAGGCCCATATTTTAATGTGATGATCTAGCACCACAAGCCTAGCTCATAGACGAGCCTTATGCCAGGCCTACATAAGAAATGAAAGCCCAATATTAGTCCGATATGCCTTAAATAAATATTTCTAAGACCAAGTTTGCTTACATGCTATTTTTAAAGGGACCAAGTTATAAATTTTAAGTAAAAGAGGATTTGTAAGTTTCTATTTGGGAACTTATATTGTTATTTCCTTATTTTGCTAAGTAATTAAATTATAGGGACCAAGGGTAAAAAAAAAATACTGATAATTAATAAAATTAAAATCCACTTCATTTTATCTTGCTCAAAATTCAAAAGAACCAACCATATATATATATAAATACGCGCACACACTGTAATATAAATATGGGAGGAAACGTTTGTATTAATTGATGAATGATAAAATATTAGCCCTCAAATATAAACATAAATGTTTGCATTACACACACATGTACCTCAAATTTAAATGCATAAAATGAAACCCTCAACTCTCTTCAATTCTTTTTAATTGACGAATGATTGCTAGGACAGGAAACGGTTGCAATAAAATGTAAGAAATGAAACATAAGCCTTTTTTCAATTTTTTTAAATGGTGAATGAATGGCAGCCAACATTTTATTTTCAAGGGCCAATTGGAATTTACTTTTCATTTTCTTCCAAATCATTCATATCCTTTCCAATATATACGGATGTACCCATTGTGAACAAGAAAAAAATTATCCAAAGTAAGAAAAAGGGAAAAGGGAGGCATATTTTTTTTGAAGCGTTGGGTGCCATTGGGAAACAACATTCCCCGCCAACTTCGTCCATTCAAAAGCTTCAAATTAAGGTAGGTAAAGGTGCAAGTGGTTATTTCTTTTTCAAATTAAGAATTTTCATTAAAATATGAACGAAATGGGTGCCTTCGGGTATGGTGCTTCGGTACTACTATTGTTGGAATGATCATTCTTCGGCTCTACGTGTTTATGATAATTCTATAGAAATTGGATTTTGCCAAAAAACCATCTACGTGCGACAGTATGAATCTACAATTCGAATTTCTAATTTGATAACTGTAACGAAGAGAGAATTGTTTTCTATATTATTACAAAGGAGAGAGTACATATATATACAGATTTAGAATTCTAAATAAGGAATGAAGAATCCCTATAATTACGCTCTAATTATTTACGCTAACACTCCCCCTCAAGCTGGAGCATAGATATTAATCATGCCCAATTTGTTACAAATATAATCAACCCGAGTCCCATTTAGAGCTTTTGTAAAAATATCTCCAAGTTCTCCAGTTTTCACATATCCCGTAGAGATTAAATTTTGCTGTATTTTTTCACGAATGAAACGACAATATGTTTAGTACGTTCATGAAACACGGGGATTAGACGCAATATGAAGAGCAGTTTGATTATCACACCATAACTTTGTCGGTGTTGAAGTCTTAATACCAACTTCAGTTAAGAGTTGATATATCTACATGATCTCACATACAGACTGTGCCACAGCTTTATATTCTGATTCTGCACTGATCGTGACACAACATTTTGCTTCTTACTTTTCCATGAAATCAAATTTCCTCTAACAAAAACACAGTATCCAGTAGTGGATCTTCGGTCTTGGAACCTGCCCAATCTGCATCTGAGAAACATTCGATGCGAGTATGCCCATAATTTTTGTACAATATCCCACGTCCAGGAGCTCTCTTTAAATAATATAGGATTGTTCTAAAGCTGCCCAATGGTGCATTGTTGGGAAAGACATGTATTGACTTACAATACTGACAGAATACGCAATATCAGGACGAGTTACTGTAAGATAGTTTAATTTCCCAACAAGTCTTCTATACTTCTCAGGATCTTCAAACAAGTCATCATCTTTGGCAAGTTGTAAATTAGGAAGCATTGGAGCACTACTTGGCTTAGCTCCCAACTTTCGTGTCTCAGTTAATAGGTCAATTACATATTGTCTCTGAGATAAGAAGATCCACTTTATACTCCTTGTGACTTCACCACCCAAGAAATACTTCAGAATCCCTAAGTCCTTCGTGTGAAACTGAGTATGAAGGAATGACTTAAGGGATGAGATTCATGTAGTATCACTTCCAGTAATGATAATGTCATCCACGTATACAACTAAAAGAATGATACCAGTTGTCGATTGTTTATAGAACACAGAATGATCAGACTTGCTTTTCATCCTACCAAACTTTTCAACAGCCTGACTAAATTTTTCAAACCAAGCACGAGGACTCTGTTTCAAACCATACAGAGATTTTCAAAGACGACAGACTCGCCCAGACTTCCCCTGAACAACAAAATCAGGAGGTTGCTCCATATACACTTCCTCCTGAAGATCACCATGAAGAAAAGCATTCTTGATATCTAGTTGATACAAAGGCCAACGATAAGTAGCTGCCATAGAAATAAACAAGCGAACAGATGTCTATTTAGCAACAGGTGAAAAAGTGTCAGAATAGTCCACTCCATAATTTGAGCATATCCTTTAGCGACAAGACAGGCTTTCAACCGAGCAACTGAACCATCCGGATTGACCTTAACTGTGAACACCCATTTGCACCCGATAGCCCTTTTCCCTGAAGGTAAATCGACCAAATTCCAAGTATCATTGTCATCTAAAGCATTCATTTCCTCAATCATTGCATGATGCCAACCAGGATGTGATATGGCTTCATGGACCGTGTTAGGAATAGAAATAGAGTCAAGAGATGCAATAAAAGAAGAAGAGGAAGACGACAAAGAGTTATAAGAAACAAAAGAAGAAATAGGATAAGTACAGTGGCGTTTACCTTTGCGTAACGCAATGGGAAGATCATTATTTGGGACAGGATCTGATGACGGAGGAGCAGGT